CTTCCTTGCCTCGATAAATCCAGCGAAGATGGATAAATATCCTAGCATAAGCTTCTCATCCCTTGTCCACTCCCCAGCACGCTTACATGCTTCAGTAAGTTCATCAACGGTGGGGCCAACATCTATACTAACGCCAAGCTTCTCCCAGAAATATTTCATCTCAGGAGTAACTTCTGCTTCCTCCAGTTCCTCAACATCCTCGCAGTTGAGACCGGTGAGTTGTTCAAACTCATTGAGTGAAACCGAAGTGGGGTTGCATTTATGAGACTCCATATCTCATACTTCTTCTTGCAGTCCAGCTGAAAACCGAGTATAAACTGCACCACCCTCGATGCCAGCCAAAATTCAGTTTGTAAAACTTTAGAAAAACACCAAGCCTTGATTCCAAAAGCTCTTCCCATATATCTGCTTCCAGTACTGCTTCCAATGCAGGAAACAACTTCCTACTGTTGCTGTAGTAGGCTATACTTTTTCCAGGTTGGGGCTCCTCGTCCTTTGTGAATAATCTCCTTGGAAACTTAGGCTGCTTCTCCATCCTGCAAAACCAAAGATGACATAAATATGTAAGAAATATATAATTATTAGCAAATGGCAGAAGTCTAGTTCAGAAAGAAGTCTACTTTTCTCTGAGAAGTCTACTCGCGAAAAAGTCTACTCGAGAAGAAGTCTACTTAGAGAAGTCTACTCGAAAGAGAAGTCTACTCGAGAAGAAGTCTACTCGAAAGAGAAGTCTACTCGAAAGCGAAGTCTACTCTAGAGAAGTCTACTTATATGAATTCTAAAATAAATCACTAGTTACATAAATTACCTTTGCGAACACTGAAATCCCGCGGAGACAACCAACAGCATCGTCGACATCTGTAAATCCATACAAAAAATTTCCAAATTAACGGCGGCGATGATATCTAGGGCAAAAAATTGAATCTAACAGATGCCGGACAAAGAGAAATGTGGACAGAATTACCAGCAGTAACAAGGCGACGAGGCGACAAGGCAACAGAGGCGGCAATGAAAAGAGATGAACGAAATCGATTAAGGTCTATATACAGATAAAGAGATATACAGAAGTGAGAGATCTGAGAGAGGAGAACAGAGATTACCTCCGTTGACAATTTACAAACGGTGGTGATGAGTTGAAGCAGCGGCGGCGACGACGGTATGAACGGCGACAGAAATGGCGAAAGAAATCGCCCAAACGCTGGTTACGAGTCGAGAGAAACTAGGGTTTGTGGAATGGGTTACTTTCTGGTAAAAATGAAATATATAGACCGGTTAAAAATGGGTTAGTAATATTATTTGGTTCAGTGATTATTTTTATTTTACTCGGACATAACCGGTCAAAGAAGTCTACTTTTGATTCTAATTCGGTAAAAGAAGTCTACTAGATAGAAGTCTACTTTAGTCCGAGTCGTCTACTCGAGAGAAGTCTACTTCGGTCCGAGAAGTCTACTTAACCCTAAACCCTAAATCAATTTTGTTTAATTAAAACTTATATGAAAACATTAATTACTTACCATATTGACAAGTCATAGTTAAAATAACAAATATATGAACCATGATTCATTAACTGAACCATAAACTATGATTCATATAGAATTTGTGCAAACCCTAAGAATTACACTCTTATACCCTAAACCCTAAACCTCAACCCTAACCCTTTTGATTTGTATATTTATGAAACTTATAAATTGATTCATTTTCATGATTTTTTTTATACAGATGCTAAATGTATCTTTTTTAATTGTGTATATAATATTTTTACCAAATTATTTTTCATAATTTTTAAAATTAGTGGTAAAGAAATTAAAATAAAGTAGACTTCTCCAAGAAGTCTACTTCTGAGAAGTCTACTTTAGAATCCGAGAAGTCTACTTAGTATTGATTTCTAACCTAATTTATCTATGATTATTTAAATTAATTATTTTGTGTCAAATTTTATTTTTAATAGGTGTAAAAAGTATATGTTTTTGTTATTTTGATAATTTTTTCACCAAATTATTTTTCATAATTTTTTTAATTAATGATAAAGACATTATTCCAGAGTATCGAGAAGTCTACTCGAGAAGTCTACTCGAGCTCAAGTAGACTTCTCGGGGATAAAATAGTCATTACGACGAGCGTTTTTTGTTTGGTCAGAAGGGATAATATTGTAATTTCACTACCCCTGTGAGTTATTTTTGTCAAACATGCAATAGGGAGTCTAGTTTTGCAATTCAAATCAAGTTTTGAGTCATATTCAGCAATTCCCCATTTTAGTTATTGATTTTAATATTTGTTTTTTTTGTTAATTTAGTTTTTACTACATTGGGTTTCTATTTTATTTTGATAGATATTATAAATTTGGATTTTTAATATAACTTTCTTTAATCTGTTTTGTTAATAAAAAAATTTTGATCTAAATTTTCTATTCTAATATGAAATTTTTCGTTTTTTGTATATTTTAATTTATTTATATTTCTAAGCAAATATAACTTTTTGTGGTTTAACAAAAAACCACAGTTAATTTAGAAGTTAATTTTTTTCTTAATTTATACTATAAGTTTTAGCTTATAAGATATCAATTTTGTTTTGTTAGTTTAACTCTTTTGACATTAAATTTTCATTTAATTTTGAGGGATACTATATTTTTGCTTTTTAACATATTTTTCTTTTCTATTTGTTACTTAAGTTTTATTTTTATATTTTACATATATAAAACGAAATTAATATTTAACAAAAATATATAAACAATTTTAATATTTTAGTCATACTTAACATTTTTTTATTTAATGAAATCTTACTATAAGATTAGCTTTTATGTTACTGGTTTTTTTTATTAGTTTAACTCAACATTAAATTACCATTTAATCTTGAGGAATACCATATTTTGGTTTTTTTAACATTATTTTCTTTTCCATATGTTACTTATGTTTTTTTTTGACTTTTTCATCTATAAAACAAAATTAATGTTTTACCAAAATTAGTAATTATTTTTTTAATATTTAATCATACTTAATTGTTTCTTTAATTTAAAATGTTCGTCCTATGTGGACGTCTTTAATGCATTATAGCACAAACTTTTAGATAGTACATACATTTAATTCTTTGGAAGAGAATTCATTTATTCTTATGCGTATATGGCTACCAAAATTATCCTGTTGGTTAAGTTAAAAAATATTTAAATTTATTAAAGTGTATCAAAAAGTATTTAAAATTTCCTAACTTCCTTAATTCTGAATTATTCTAAGTGGAAAGTGGAAGACAGTATTATTCTGAAATAGAGAAAAAAGTATACTAATTGCAAGCATATTACAAAAGAACTAGGTAGTAACCCGTACCATGTGCAGGATGAAATAATTATTATTTATTTAAATCTAATATTATATTTGTGTATATATTTAATTATTTTTGACTCATAAATAATAATTAAATATTATTTTTAAATAGTTTGCTACTTATCTACTATATCGAATGAATTAAAAAAAATACACAATTTTTCTATTTTTAATTTGAAAACAATAATTATATCCATAAATTATCTCTTTATAAAAGAAAAGAATAATTATTGACTCTAAAAACCTTTAATCAAAAAATAAAGCATAATTGAATATATGATAAATAGTAAGTTGGGAGTATAGTGTATACATAATAAAGCAGAATATTAAATTTAAGATATAATATGGTTAGAGTTTTGATGTGTTTTTGGTACGATTAATTATAATAAACATAATGTGACAAATCAAATTCATTATAATTAGCTTCTATAAAAATATTGATATTTATCCATCTTATATATTATTTTTACTCCAAATAAGTTTTAAACATTGATGACTTATTAGACAAAAGTGTCACTATATATACTCGAAATCTTTGAATATATATATCTAAATTAACAAAATAAATTTGAATTAATATATTACTTATATCTAAGTTAGATTAGTGAATGTGCCATAAATTAAATTAATTATATTATTAACATATATCAAACACAATAAATTTCATTTTAATTAAAATTATTAATAAATTCTCAATTAGCTCATAATTATAATATATTAAATATCAAATACTAATTATTGTATACGTAATTTTAGAAAGAGTCTAAATTATGAGCTAATTAAGATTTGTTTTTAGAAAGAGTTAATTAAATTGAATTATAATTATTTACTTTTATTTATATTGACTATAATGAACTCAAATTATAATGATTTATGTTTACTTATTAATAATTTGAATAATTTGTATTCAATTTTTAAAATTCAAATTATAATACATGTACAAAAAATCTATATATTTTTATTATATGGATGATGCGATAATTTATTTACTTTACAAAAGTAAGTTTAAATGAAAATAAGAGAAAATTAGATTTTTGGTAGAAAATATAATTAAAAAAATAATTAATATGATATATTTTTGGTAAGAAATAAAGAAAAGAATATTTTAATAAATTAAATGCTGATTTATAAAATAAAACATAACATATGTATGGACCTAAAATATATAATGACATATCATATATATAATTAGTCTAGTAATCTAAGTATTTTTAAAATAATTAGCTGATAATGAATGTGGGGATGACACATCAGCATAATGATACTACTGTAAATACTTACAAAAATAAAGTTACTCTTTAAAAATGCTTATCAATTAATATATAAGGAATATGAAAACATGTCAAACTAATATAATAGCGTATGTACGTACATGTGCTTTTACATGGAAAAAAAATATCGTTTCATTTGCCTAGAGTTTTTTCTTTTTTTGACCAAGAATTTGCCAAGAGTTGTTATTAAAGTTTCCCTATTATATTGGTTTGTCAATAACGTTACATCCACATAAAATGACAAAAATAATTGTGAGAACCAAAACAGTACTCATGGAATTATCAATGAGTACGTGCAGAGTTTTTATAGATCCCCATTCAGTGAACCGGATTTAGTCAATACTAGTCCATCGCGAACAATGACCGTTTTCAAACTTTTGAAAATATGTACATTTCTTTGTTTTGTAAAATAGTCTTGACATGGAAACAAAGAAAAATACCTTTTTTCTTTATAGTTTCTCCAGTCATGACGCGTTTGCGTTTAATAGACTGACTTGTTCTTAATACATATACCTTTAACAATCTGATTTGTTGTCTTCAATTTCTCTTTAATTATATACCCTTTCAATCTCTCATGGCCTCTTCTTCTTCTTCTTCTTCTCGCAGCTGGAGATACAACGTCTTCCCGAGCTTCCATGGACCAGACGTCCGTGTAACATTTCTAAGTCATTTAAAAAAGCAGTGTGAACACAATGGGATTATAACGTTCAACGATGAAGGGATCGAGAGAAGCCAAACCATAGGTTCTGAGCTCAGACAAGCGATAAGAGAATCGAGAATCTCGATGGTTGTGCTCTCAGAGAACTATGCAACTTCAAGTTGGTGTTTGAACGAGCTGGTTGAGATTTTAAAGTGCCAAGAATCTGTAGGCCAAATAGTGATGACGGTTTTCTACAAAGTGGATCCATGTGATGTGAGGAAACAGATGGGAGAGTTTGGGAAAGCTTTCAAGAAAACTTGCCAAGGAACAGGAGAGACGGAGATTGAGAGTTGGATCCAAGCTTTGACCCATGTCGCCAACATAGCTGGAGAACACTCCCTTAGTTGGTATCTTCTTTTGTTTTTCTTTCTAGTTTCATTAAGACTCTAATTTGAAATTTCCTGGTTTGCGCTTTGAATTTTAGAAAACCATAGTACAAGAAAAGTTGGGTTACCAGTTAAGTGGTCATTTAGACATGAATTAGTAGTAGCTAATCTATCATCTATGTATGAGTACTTGTTCAAAGCCGTAATTCATTACAAGGACCTAAAAGATAGTTTAGGTCTTGATTGTTCGTACTTTTTATAGCGGCTTTTGGTTTTAGATTTTGAAAAACCTATATTTACTAACCCTTTCAAGATTTTTGGAAAAGTAAATTCTCTAAATATCAAATAACCACTTCACTGTGAAAACATGAAAACTTAATACGGATACTTTTTAAATTTTGCACAAAAATCAAGAAATCATTGGGTTATTATTATTATGTTAAGAAATCGTTGGGTTATTATTATCTTATTGTTAGGGTGTTAAATTCTTTAAATTATTCACTGTTATTATAATATGTTACATGTTAGGGACAATGAAGCAAACATGATTGAGAAGATTACCAGAGATGTTTCAGACAAACTAAATGATACACCATCTAGGGATTTTGATGGGATGGTAGGACTTGAAGCTCATTTGGCGAAAATTCAATTATTTTTACATTTAGAAAATGATGAAGCTATGACTTTTGGAATCTCTGGTCCTGCGGGTATTGGTAAAACTACCATTGCGAGAGCTTTATACAACCAACTCTCTTGCGATTTTCCACTAAGATATTTCATGGAAAATGTCAAGGGAATTTATAGGAGTATTGATTGTGATGAGCATGGTTCAAAGCTACGTTTACAAGAACGGCTTCTTTCACATATATTTAACCAAAACAGAATGAAGATATGTCACTTAAATGTGATATATGAAAGGTTACACAATCAGAAGGTTCTCATCATTCTTGATGATGTAGATAGCCTGGAGCAATTAGATGCTTTGGCTAAGGATATTTATCATTTTGGTTCTGGAAGTAGGATTATTGTGACTACGAAAGATCGAGAGCTTTTGCAACGATATGGCATCAACAATACATATCATGTGGGCTTTCCGTCTAATGAAGAAGCTCTTGAGATCTTTCGTAGATATGCTTTTAAAAAAAGCTCTCCACATAATGGTTTTGAAAAGCTTGAAATAAGAGTAACAAAGCTTTGCAGTAATCTTCCATTGGGACTCCGTGTTGTGGGTTCATCTTTACGCGGGAAAAGTGAGGATGAATGGGAAGTGATAATGCGTAGGCTAGAAACTAGTCTTGATGGAGATCTCGAGAGAGTATTAAGAGTTGGATACGATAGTTTACATGAGAAAGATCAAGCTCTGTTTCTTCACATTGCAATCTTCTTCAACTACAAAGATGAAGATTATGTAAAAACCATGTTGGGTGACTGTAATTTGGATGTCCAATATGGGTTGAGAAACCTAGTCAATAGATCTCTCATAGACATATCTACCAATGGAGATATAGTGATGCACAAATTACTACAACAAATGGGTAGACAAGTCATTTACAGACAAGAACCTTGGAAACGCCACATCTTAATTGATGCTCATGAGATTTGCGATGTTTTTGAATATGATACAGTAAGTTTTTTCGTATTTGTTATATTCTTGCTTCCAAAATCATTTTGCAATAAGTAGATTAAATCATATCCCTTATATATTACATACTTGAGATATATTCCAACTTTCCGATGTAGGATATTACACTATAATACGCTTTTGGGGTATTGTGCTAATAGTTTCTTCTGTTTGGAACTTGGTTTAGGGTACTAGAACCATGTCCGCCATATCATTTGATACATCCGAAACCAGCAAAGTGTTTGTAAGCGAAGGAGCTTTTAAGAGAATGCTTAACCTTCAATTCCTAAGTGTAACCGATGAGAATGAGAGAGTGTGCATTCCTGAGGACTTGGAGTTTCCACCTCGTCTTAGGTTACTACATTGGGAGGCATACCCGAGAAAGAGTCTTCCCTTGAGATTTCATCTAGAAAACCTCGTCGAACTTCATATGCGGAATAGCCAGCTCGAGAAGCTTTGGGAAGGACCTCAGGTTTGTTTTTATGTATATTTAGTTGATTATATATATGAATGTATTGATTATATATATGAATGTATACTTTCTCCATATGCTTTGATGCTCTTCTCTCTGTTGTTTGGTTTTACATTTACATTCAGCCGCTTACAAAACTCAAGAAGATGGATATGTCAATGTCCTATCATTTGAAAGAGCTCCCAGATCTTTCAAATGTAACCAATCTGGAGAGATTGAATCTGGATGACTGTAAGAGTTTGGTAGAGATTCCCTCCTCTTTTTCGAATCTTCACAAGCTAAAAGTATTGAGCATGTTTGCCTGCACAAAGCTAGAATTCATTCCAAGTCACATGAACTTGGCGTCTCTTGAATCGGTTAATATGACTGCATGCCAAAGACTGAGAACGTTCCCAGACATCTCTAGGAACATCTCACAGTTCTCTATCTCAGTGGCAGACGTAGAACAAGTTCCTGCATCCATTAAACTTTGGTCTCGTCTTCGTGTTCTCCACATAGTCAGCAACGGAATGCTAAATACATTAACACATGTTCCCCGAAGTGTAAGGCATCTACACCTAAGCTACACTGGTGTTGAGAGGATTCCATATTGCAAGAAAAGTTTCCATCGGGTACAACTTTTTCTAAAGAGCTGCAGAAAAGTCGCACTATTACCTGATTCGTGTAAGAAAGAATGTGAAGCAATGGAGAGAGATACTTGCCCTCATAGCACTCCGTACGTGCAACTCAACTACACAAACTGCTTCGAACTGGATAGAGAAGCGCGAAGAGTGATTATAACCCAACCATTTATTCAGGGTTGGGCTTGCTTACCGGGAAGAGAAGTGCCTGTAGAGTTTGATCACCGAGCTAGAGGAAGTTCCTTGACCATACGCCCGACGAGTAACACACCTCTTACCATTCTCAAGGTTTGTGTCGTGATTTCTCCTAACCAGCAAACCAGAGATTCTGAACAACTGTTTTGTCGTCGTATAAGGAAAGACGACGTATACATCCCCATTGAGGAGATCAGTGTTTACGCTATTCCCAGGATCCAAAAAAAACATCTGTTTCTGTTTCCCTCCTACTTGTTTGAAGAAGAACGACAAGTGACGAGCAGAGAGATAGTGTTCGAGTTCAGCAGCGAATTCGAGATTGTTGAATGCGGTGTCCAGATCTGGAAGGACGAATCCGAAAGAAACAACAATGGTGGATATGGTAAACGAGGATCTGGTGACGAAGAAGATGTTGTCACTAACCAGCAGGACACATACGAATTCACCGAAGCTTCCGACGAAGAAGAAGCTGAGCAGTACGTGAACCAGAATCCAGCGAAGCGTACAAAGAGATGAATCCGGCGAACCGTACGAAACCTTTCTTATAAAGTGTTAATAGTATAATATATATCAACTTTTTGGAATGTAGCTGTGTGCCTGAAAGAAACTCAAGATTTAAGTATTCTCTTCAGGTTTTTTTCTTGTCTTGCCTAAGCTGAATATTGTACCATTTCTTCTTCTTCACTCCATCTTCTGCCCTAACCGTGACTTCTCCTTCTTCTCTAGGTTCCATTAAAAGACTGCTCTTCTTCCTGCTCTTTCCTTTGCTCCAGTTTCTGTTCTTGCTTGTACCTTGCTTCGTCGGTGGGAAGATTGTGTAAGCTGCGCATATCTCGTTCCTCCTCTTGAGAAGCTCATCGATCTGCAAACGCAACAAATCTCAGTTGTTTGTAAAGTAATCAATAAAACTATGAGAAAAGTAAGCTATATCTTACCTCTTGTACTTCACCTGCGCATTTACTAGCCATCTCTGTGAACTGTGCAAAGACCTCGTGGTATTCAGATTCAAACTTCAAGAGCTCTGTTCTTTTAGAGACTATCTCCGCTTCAGTTGACCGGAGACTCTCTTTCTCGTTAGTGAATGGAGCAGATGAGAATATTTCTAGAGTGTAGCTCACACTTTTGAAAAAATTGTCACCTAGAGAGAGAGAGAGAGAGAGAGAGAGAGAGAGATATGACACCATGTGAGGTTACTCTACTCCTAATAGAGTGGCCTAGTGATTACTTGGAAACTCACAAACATACCATAAACAGCAAAGACATGAGATCCAGGTTTCAGTTCAGTGATTTCAAACGGTTGGAATGCATCGAGCCTTTTGAAAAACCCGGTCTCTGGATCCCTTGAGAGAGCCCTCTGTGAGAAGAAGAGCGAAAAGTATGTACAAGGCGATCAAAAGAAGAAAAATAATGGTGTTATGAGTTATCTTAAGAGGGTAGAGAAGATAGTTAACTGAATTAACCCTGTGATCGAAACGATAAACAGGGAAGCCGAAAAAATACAACCCTGCGGTAGAGAGCTTTCCTGTTTTCTTGCTGTCTTCCTTTTGCAATGAACGAGAAATAAGAAAACAAAACTTAGAATCCGGAAGAAACTTAAGAGCCATGAAGATTTGATGTCAATGGCAAAATTAGTAAGTTTTCTGAGCAATCACTCTGTGATGCAACTCAGAGATGTGACAATAAAATATAAACAACTTAGAGATTACATGCTGCGACATAATCAACAGTTTTAAGATCAAAATTTAACAAAATCTCACACCTGTGAAAAAAAAAAAAAAAAAAAAAAAAAAAAAATCTCATACCTGTAGTGCCAGGCTTAGTCCTCCATTCTCTTCTTGATCAAAGTAAAGCAACTGGCATAGCAAATGGAGAAGATAACATATAGAATATGAAAAAAAACTACAAGACTCTTGAGCATGGAAGGCAAGAGTTTGCGAAAACGAACCTTGAATTTGTTTTTAGCAGATGAATACACCTTACATATCAACCCAGCCTGAGCTTCTTCCTCTGTTAAGGTAACAGAATAAAAGTGAGCCGATTGCTTTTCAACCTGTTAGAGAAGCAAAACTGTGTCAGAGATAAAAATTTCACATTAATGAAAAAATAAAAGCAGATGTTAGCCTATTAAATCTATCATTATCATACCTTCCTAGACAAAACTTGCCCCACCGTAAGAGGCAAAGTAGTGACCGTACCATTCAAGGCTTCCTCCAATAAATTTGCTGAGACAGTAGTCTTGATTTGCACACCAAGCTTACTGTGTTGGACAAAATTGTAAAGTTGTTAGTTATCTTCCAAACAAGCGTAAAGAACTTCCAAAAGATTTCTCTTGAGAGAGTAGAGCAACTCTGTTTACAGAACTCACTTGAACAGCGCGGCGAAAATTGTATTAACAGCTCCTAAGCTTGAAAGATCGAGCTCAAGATCTTCATTTTCTGGACCAACAGTCTACATCCCATGTGAATCATTAGAAAACAGAAATGGTATCTCAGATGATTTTGGCATCTAAAGAAGAACTATAAACTATATAGCCTTATGTGATTAAAGATTATCTGGAAACTTGCAAAAGTGTATAATGCTTGTTCCAAGTTCCAACTCCAAGAAGACCAGTAGCATAACACTAGTGTATAAGGTATTCTCTATTAAATGCTTCAAGAAACTAGTAAACAATGTCGAAATATCGTATTAACTTCATAAATGGTAAAAATCAACCACAAAATCAAAACTCAGGACATGTATGAATCTCACCTCAGAGCCGATTGTATCATATTGACGCCGATTCTCGGGATCAGACAAGACATCATATGCAAATGTAACCTCCTTAAACATATCCGCTGCGACCGGATCGTTTGGATTCTTATCAGGATGGTACCTGAAATAACATAAAACCTCAGTACATATAATAACAATTAAGAGCAAGCAACAAACACACAAAGAGTATGACATAGAGACAATACTTGTTATGACATAGAGACAATACTTGTTCTACTTCTGATCATACACTTATGATCTACCAAAGAAACATATGGTAACGTCACTTCTGAACATTAATACCATATGATCTACTTTCAACACGGAGACAATACTTCCACAATAACCGGAAATATCAGAACCACCAAAACATCTTAATCAAGAACTTTTTAAGAAATCAAGAATATGAGGAGAAATAACCTGAGAGCCATTCTTCGATAGGCACTCTTGATCTCTTGATCGGTCGAATTGCTGGGGATGCCGAGGACTTCATACGGATTCCTTCGGAGCTCATCTTCTCCGGCGTCTTTCTTCTCCGATCCAGATGTCTGAGTAGGCATTGTTCAGAAAAAGTGCCGATTTCCTTCTCCTTTTACCAAACAGTGTTAGATTTTCCTCTATGGTCCCAACAAAACTTTCAGTTGTTAAACTCCCAAAATCTGGGGATCATCGTCCGAAATCTCCAGAAATTGTTGCAAGTGGGGAAAATGATCATGCCTCGTGAATTGTGGTTTTCCCCGGAAACCTAGGAGGAGGAGAGACAGAGAGAGAGGAGGCTCCATGGGGAAAACCCCACAGGGCACTGTGCTGTAGAAAGATTTGGAAACACGAAGACAAGAGAAAAGAGACAGACAGACACAGAAATTCGTTATTTAGTGGAAAAACCCTTCAACTAAAGATGGATCGAAGAAAAACCCATCAACTATATATTCAATGTAAAAATCGTTCAACTATAAATTCATTTATGAAAAAACTCCTTCGTCTACAATACTGTTAAAATCTTATTGGTCAGCATTAAATTAAAACTGTGCGTTTTGGTTGTAAAAAAATGACATGTATTTTACAAAATCTCAAATAATTATAATGAAAAAATCTCTCAAATAAATATGGATAAAGAATAAACCTCCAACTATCAAATTAATAGAAAAATACACATTTGGTCTACAATTATATTAAAACATAAACGATTAATATTCAATTAAATGTATATAATTTGGAAAAATTTTAAAATATCAAATTTTTTATACAACTTGAGAAATTATTCTAATTTCTCAAAACTCCGAATAAATTAAATTATACATGAAATTTAAAGATATGTCTTCTTTAATCAACTTTCTAGACAAAGTATCTCATTATCACATCATTTTAAAATTATCCACATTAATAATCCAAAACGTTTAATATATTATTAAGATAGATTTTAACGTTATTGTAGACAGAAAGAAGAGTTCACATTACTTTTATAAATAAGGGGTTTATTCTTTATTTATCTTTACTTAAGAGGTTTTTCAATAAAATCTTTTATGATTTTACAAAACACATGTAGTTTTTTTACAACCCCAAAATGCATAGTTTTAATTTAACGCTGGCCGTTAAGATTTTAACACTATGGACGGATGGGTTTTTTCATTAACGGACTTATAGTTGAGGGGTTTTACATTAAATCTATAGTTGAAAGGTTTTTCTTCGATTCATCTTTAGTTGAGAGTTTTTTCACTAAAAACACTTCTTTTGTTTTTTCTTTCAATTATTAATTTTAATATCTAAAATGATCCACTGTAATTAGAAACAGCCCAAAATAGATCACAAAGCCCATAAGAAAAAAAAATGTGAATTTTTTTTTGGCTAATTATCATTTTATATAGAATGAATAAGGTTTGAATACAAAGCATTTGTTAACCAATGCGGTGGATACGACCAATCCGAGAAGAAAGTATTGTTTGGAGGGCCATGTTTAGCGAGTAAGTGAGCTACAATATTACAATCCCGTTTGACATGGGTGAACGAAACATTACGAAATTTAGTAATCCAAAATCGCAGATCATCAATCAAATTGGAGACTGTTATATCTTGGAAGTCATCTTGTAATAATAGAAGTAAGGGTTTAGAATCACCTTCAAAGCATATGTTGTCATATCCCATACTCCAACAGTTTTGTAAAGAAACCAATAAAGCTTTGCCTTCGGCCTCCAAACTTGAAATTGCAGAGCCAGTATCTGATGATCCCCAATATATATGCGTTCCATTGTGATCATGTGTAACCCAGCCAGCCTTTATCGCGTGAGAATGGGCATCATATGAGGCATCGTAATTGCACTTTAGTTGGTGCAAAGGGGGGCAAGTCCAGTATGTTGTGGTTGGCGTTTGTGGTCGTATAGAGGTTGGAAGAGAAGTACATTCAACCATTCTGAAACTTCAGCATATACATTTGCTACATCTCTCTCAATCCTGATTCTTGCATTCATAAATATGTGATTATTTCTAGACTTCCATATACGCCATATTATCCAAAACGGTAGTAATTTTTCAGTTTCAGAGTAAGTAGGGTCTGCTTGAGCATCAAGTAACAGACTAATAACCATCTCAGGTTCAGCAGTTGGTGTTGTTATAAAGGTAAAGGGAGTTTGGGAGAGGGGCCAAGTGGATAAGGAAACAGGGCAGGTAAAGAACAAATGAGATATGGTTTCGATGTCCAAGCCGCATCTAGGACATGTTGCAGGAATAACTATTCCTTGAGTTTGCAGTCTGGTTGTAGTTGGAACAGCTTTAGAAAGAATTCTCCATAAAAAGTGTTTTAGCTTTGGCAGGATTGATAGGTTCCAAATTTTATTTTTAAGAAGTGGATTTCCATAGGGGATTGCCGGTGCAGTGATTTGTGTTTGTGGTAGATGCCGCAGAAATCTGTAACCAGATCTGACTGAGTATTGTCCACTTCTAGTGTAGTTCCACAAACTACGATCATGTTTGGTATGTTGGCTTAAGTAAAGAGTTTTGGTAAGGGTAGCATCATGAGCATCAACGATCATTGTAATAGCCGTATCATCCCATTTTTGGAGATTGCCAGACTTACTAATGAGATCACTAACTAGGGTATTATCATTCGCAGGTCCACCGTGCGCTGGTCGTGGAGGATTAGTGGGGAGCCAGTTTTCCTTAAGAAACTCTAGTGTTTGAGCCATCACCAATAATGGTTCTTGAATATTTATGCCACGTAGTATAGAAGCTCAGCCGTAAGATTGGTTCCTTCTACTCTTTGCATCAAAAAGATGGTCCTCATTATAATAACGGGCCTTATACAGTTTAGCGAAAAGACAATCAGAGTGTTGTAATAGGTGTGAAGCTTGTTTAGCAAAGACTGCATCATTAAACATTTCGAGATCCTTAAAACCCAAACCCCTTTCCTTTTTAGTGTACTGGAGTCGCTTCCAAGCAACTCAAGGGATACCTTTTGTTTGACTGTTTTTCTCCCATCAAAATTTAGTTAAAGTACGATCAAGTGCCGAGATAACCTGGTGTGGTAATTTGAAACATGGCATGGAATAAACAGGCATGGACAGAGCAACTGACTTAATAAGAACTTCTTTGCCGGCTGGTGATAATAGTTTGGCGCTCCAGGAAGATGTTCTTTGCTTCACTCTGTTTATAATATTTGCAAACATTTCTGTTTTCTTTCTGCCAAATTGTTCAGGAAGGCCTAAATATTTGCCTCCACCGCCGTGTTTTGTGATTCCCAGGATTAGTTTTAGTCTTTCTTGTCTAGCTCTATGAATACGCGAGCCAAAAGTAATCATTGATTTTTCTTGATTTATCTTTTGGCCAGAACATTGTTCATATAATCGGAAAACATCACAAATTGCCGAACAGTTTCTGTCATTTGCTTGGCAAAAGAATAAAGAATCATCAGCAAACAGGAGGTGTGCAATTCGTGGCACGCCATTCCCAACTCTAATACCCTGTAGTCTTCCATTTTTTATATTTTGATTAAGTAAGTGATTCAAAACATCTGCACAAAGAATGAAGAGATACGGTGATAGAGGGTCTCCTTGACGAAGTCCTCGTTCAGGGATAATATGTCCTTGGGGTCTTCCATTGATGAGAACAGATGAGTTAACAGATTTAACTGACGCCATGATCCATTGAATCCACTTGCGGCTGAAACCAAAGGCACTCATTGTTTCCTCGAGGAAATCCCATTCCACTCTGTCATAAGCCTTAGACATACCGTTTTGATTGCCAAATATGTTTAAGAAACTCGATTTCTACTTTTCAAAGAAAGCATAAGTTCATGAACGACCATTACATTTTCAGAGATCATACAGCCTGGAACAAAAGCAGCCTGAGATTCTGAGATGATCTTGTTTAGAAACTTCTTGAGTCTGGTGACAAGGACTTTCGATATGATACATAGAGCGATTGGTCTATAATCAGATAGTGTAGAAGGCGTTGTAATATTTTGGATCATACATATGTTAGTATGATTAAACTTATCTTGCATGATGGATGACTCAAAAAAATGAAGAACAATTCAGTTGTTACATCGGGTCCAACTATTTTCCAGCATTCTTGATAAAAATGTGCTGTTAGCCCATCAGGTCCAGGTGCTTTATCAGATCCAATTGCACAAACAGCATCATATATCTCAGTGGTTGTAATATCTTTTGTGAGAGATAGATTCATCTCCGATGTTACAGTAGTCTTAAAATCAGTGAAGATGGAGGGATCAATATGATTTCTGTCACTCGTGTATAAGTCAGAAAAATATGTTTCTGCATATGCTCCAATCTCTGTATCACCTTGGTAGATATTTCCATGAATATCATTGATTCGGTGGATTCTGTTCTTCGAATGTCTTGTCTTTGTTACGACATGATAGAATTTTGTATTTTTATCACCACTCGTAAGCCAAGCTACAACTTTTGAGTTGTCAATAGATTTTTTTCATTCCTGTAAGCCTGAGCTAGATCTCGTCGTATTTGTGGAATATCATATGGTGCAGGATCAATTGCAGATAGAGCACAATCGTGGTCAAGTTGTAGCGACGATTTGTTTTGCAAAATTGGTTTTGGAGTTTCTGAGAAATCTCGCCATTGCCTTTTGAACATCGCGAAGCTGATCTAAGAAAGAGTAAGATTCACGGAAATAAGGAGATGTCCATCCTTGAAGAACACACGTTTTAAAGTATGGATTTTGGATAAGTTTTTTATCAAAGCGAAAAGGCTTCGTGGGTATATTGTGTTCAAAAGCTACATTTGTGATAACAGATCTATGGTCTGAAGTGCAAAAACCCATAAACTCTGCTTCAGAATCAGGGAAAGACGATAACCATTGAGAATTGGCAATCACCCGATTTAGACAACACCTAACTTTGTGAATACCTCTGTTTCCTCTCCAAGAAAATCGATTTCCACGATGTCTTAAATCTGATAAATCACATGAGCTATAGAAATTCCTGAAATCTCTAAAAGATCGTTCTTCACGTAAAGGTCCCCCCAACTTTTCATGATTCGATAATATTTCGTTGAAATCGCCAATTAGTAACCAGGGACCTTGTCATTGCGAGTTAATATGCTCTAAGTGTTCTCATAGTTGATGTCGTAAGAAGAGTTGGATTTCCATAAACACGGGACAAATAGAAATCCATTCCATAGAATTTAACATAAACGTCAAGCAAACAGTTTGAACAATACAACTGAGTGATACACGTATCTTTTTTCCAGAAAAGAGCAAGTCCCCCACTATGCCCTTCTGGAGGAAAATTATGAACGAAATCAAACCCTAAGCTAGTACAAAGAGAACAAACAACAGCACACTGGTTCATTGTTTCTACTAAAAATAACAAATCAGGGGATGCTTTGCGACAAAGTTCCTTAAGCCGAGATTTTCTCAAGGGAGATTGCAACCCTTGGAAATTCCACAACATTATCTTCATGGTGCTCTTCAG